CTCGTCCTCGCAGTCGCCGTCGCCGTCGTCGACTTCGTCCTCCTTCCCTCCTCGCCCTGCTTGCCGTCGTCGTCGTCGTCGTCGTCGTCGTCGTCGTCGTCGTCGTCGTCGTCGTCCTCGTCGTCGTCGCCGTCGTCGTCGTCGTCGTCCTCGTCGTCCTCGTCGTCCTCGTCGTCCTCGTCCTCGTCGTCGTCGTCGTCGTCGTCGTCCTGCTCCGCCTCTTCCTCTCCGAGGATTTTCACGAGCGCGCAGCCGCGTGGCAGGAAGTGCAGGATGGCACCGCTCGCGTGCTCTACTTGGCGCCAGAACAGCTGATCAACGAAGGGACGCTGGCAAAGCTGAGCCAGTGTAACATCGCTCTGCTGGCCGTGGACGAGGCTCACTGCATCAGCGAATGGGGGCACACGTTCCGCCCGAGCTACCTGCGCCTATCCGAGTTTGCCGCGGCCTCCAACCTCCAGGTCCTCTGCCTCACGGCAACGGCGACCGAGGAAGTGGCCAAGGACATCTGCGCCGAGTTCCGCATACCGGCGGCGAACTGCGTCCGGACCGCCTTCCACCGCGGCAACCTTAGCTTGAAGTGTGCCTTCCCAGAGTCTGAGCAGGACCGCGATGCACTCCTCGTGGAGCGGCTGCGCACCCAGGACCCAGGGCCGACGATCGTGTACACGACGCTGCGGCGGACCGCTTCAGAGGTCGCAGGGACTCTCAAGGACAATGGCCTCGACGCCGAGGCCTACCATGCTGGGATGAACACCGAGGAGCGGACGCGGATCCAGGATAGCAGCGGAGGAAGAGGTACCGACACCGTTGCGCTTCCCTCGTTCTCGCTCTGTTGGGCCTCCCGGAGGGCCGTGGCGCCACGGCTGGATCCGTCTCGAAGTCTTGGTCGGGATCCGCGGCCACTTGCGAAACCTGCCCTTGCGGTTCCAGTCGTCGATAGGGCATCGGACACCCCCGCTGGGGCTCAACTGGCTGCACACATCCTTCGAATTCTGAGCCCCAGCCGATTCTTCTGAAGTATGCCCTGCAGGGGTGGGGTCCACATGTGCTTGTCTACAGGGCGCTCCCTGGGAGGGTCCTGGGGAGTAGCGTTATGGGTCCCACCTGATTCCCCCAGGATTGGTTCATGGGGTCCGACTCCAGGATCGTCGTCGCCACCATCGCTTTCGGCATGGGCGTGGACAAGGCGAACATCCGCTACGTCTACCACTACAACTTCCCGAGCTCTCTCGAGAGCTATGTGCAGGAGGTGGGCAGGTCCGGGCGGGATGGCCTGCCGTCGACCTGCGAAGTGCTCTTCCGCGCGGAGGACCGGGAGAAGCTAGAGGAGTTTGCTCGCGGCAGCACCCCAGACAGCCCTGAGCAGGTGCATTCGTCGTCGACGAGCAAGTGGTGGAAGTGGGAAGGAGAAGGTCTGCCTAGAAGGCGGCGAGCCTTCTCAGAAGGCCTCCGGTCTTCTGAGAGGCTTCTCGTGTCTTCGGAAGAGGCTTAGAACATGTTTCAGACGGTCAGGGGACTTCCGAGCCTTCTGAGAATGTCTGCCCTTTCTCACTTCCGCCCGGGGCTCGCCGCCGAATTCGGTGGCAAATCAGGGGAGCCTTGTACGTCCTGGTAAGTCCGCCTGTAGAGTGCATTTGCGTGTGCAAGCATTTTTGGCAATCGATGCCGTCGATCAAGCGTCGATCTGGCACCGATTAGCGTCGATGAGCGTTGGATAGCGTCGATCTGCAAGAGCCAACAAGGTGGCATGGGAGGCTCCCATGAGTGGCCGCCGAAGGTGCAGAAGCTCTTTCAGGATTTCTTCGCAGCCGGCCCAGGGAACGACCCGCTCCGCCCTGGGGCGCGCCTCGAGGTCTCTGTTTCCAAGCTTGCGAGCGACCACGGCCTGAAGAGCGACATTGTCCACAGGCTTCTTGCATACGTGGAGCACTACCACAAGCACATCTGCAGAGGCACCCCCCGTTTCGCCGCGTACGACGTGAAGGCGGTCGGCGGCGCCCTTCCGGACACGGTCTCCGGGCTCTTCGACCAGAGCCCTGCTGGGGCAGCCCTCCGCGACCACTGCGTCTCCCGTCGGATCTGGGCCTGCGTGGACGTGGAGGCCGCTGCGCAGGAGAGCGGGCTGAAGCGCGATGAGCTCGAGGGAGTGCTCTTCGCCCTGCAGACGCAGGGGCTGGCGGAGGTCCGGCGACTACAAGGGGTGCGGTTACACGCCGGAGCGTGGTTTGTGATCGGCGCCGTTGGGGCTTACAGTGGGGGCCCATGCCAAGAACCGCCCTGCTTGCCTCCAGGGTGCCCTGGGTTTCTTGGGTGTCGAGGGTGTTGCTGTGGAAGGCATGACGTGCCCACGCCGAAAAAAAGTGGGCGTCCTGGGGTCTCAGGGTTGGGTTTCTCGTGGAAGGTTGCCCAGAGGTTTGATGAGCCAGAGGTTTGATGAGCCCTCGTGGGGGCGCGGCGGAGGTCTCCGTCGGGGTCCCCGCCCGACCCCCGAGGCGAGGGTTGCAGACCCACCCCTCTGCAGACCGCACCCTTCGGAGCTGCCGAGAGGTGAAGAGGACAGGGCTGGTGGATACCTACAAGGTGCACTCGGTGCCGGCGGACCTGGGGGCCCTGGCGGCGGAGGAGTTTGCGCGGACGAAGGTCATAGAGGAGCGCGCGCTCGCGCGAATCCAGGACAGGAGGGCCGCAACGGGGGGAGCCGTGCTCCTGACTCGGCGACAGCCATGGTGTAGGCCTCTCCGATGGGCCCCGAGCAGATGGGGTCGCGCCGCATCGCCGATGCATCAGCGATGCGGCTCGATGTGGAGCACGATTTTCTCCACGTCGGTGGCGCCGATGCATTGCCGACGTCGCCGGTGCATCGCCAATGCATCGCGATGTATTGCTGATGCATCGGCGATGCGGCGCGATCTTCCGATCCCATCTGATCCGGCCCCATCTAGGACTAGGAGGTCTATAATTGGGTGTGGTTACGCCGGGGTGTGGTTTGCGATCTGGGCCGTTGCGGATCAGGGGCCGCCACGTTGCGCCAGAGGTCTTATGGGCCCTCGTCGGGGCGCGGCAGAGATCTCTGTCGAGGTCCTCGCCCCCCACCAGGATGGACCTCAAAAAGATATTAACCAGGCTGAGCCCGATCCATTCACAGGATAATAATCCATAGGCTATCATCTGAAGAAAATGAACCTAGGTTTTCATTCCTAGATAATGAACCACGGTCGACGAGGATTTCACGCCTACCCTCCCCCCCACTCCAGGCGCGGGTTGCAGATTATACCCTCTGCAAACCACACCTTTCGAAGGCCCACTTGCCCCCATGGGCGGGGGTCCGGCGGCCTCGGTGCTCCACTCGAGAGATCGTCGATGCGATGGGGAGCACAGCTCCCCCGGCTGTGGCTGGCGGGCAGGATTCGTGGCTCACGCAACTCGGGGGCCCCTAAACGGGGCGGTGACCACACCGTGCGGTGAGTCGGTGGGGATTCGGGGTCACCGCACGGTTCTGGGACTCGGGTCCCTCTCCGAGGACGTCTCGGGCGACAGGGGCCTCCAGGATGCCACAACCGTGCGGTGGCGGACCGTGCGGTGAGGTCTTGGGGGATTTCGAGGTCACCGCACGGTGTGTCACCGCGCCGTTTCGGGACTCCAAAGCAACGGGGGTCAGCGCTAACGGGGGTCAGCACCCATCGCTGGCTGGCCAGGGTTTGGAAGCCACGTGGTGCCGATTCCTCTTTTCCGCCCGCCGCTGACCACAGATTTAGGAGCCAGAGGGCTCTGGCCGACACGGGATGGCGCTGACCCGGGTTAGCGCGTCCCCGAAGGACGTGGTGGCCTTCCTCGAGGCCGGATGCCCGTCGCAGGTGCTGCTGGAGCGCTTTGGCTCGGCGGACGAGCGCCGAGAGCTACACTTGGGGCTGGAGCTGTAGCGAAGGACATGCTCCACCCTGCGCAGTTTCGCCGAGGCACTAGGGGGCACTCCCCAAGGAGCCGTAGGCAGATGTCGGCTGCCTGCGACCAGCATCCTCATATGATGTAGAGGGCACAGAGGAGGGGGAGGAGGGGGAGGTGGAGGAGGAGGAGGTGGTGAAGGAGGAGGAGGAGGAGGAGGAGAATGAAGGATATGAGGAGGAAGTGAGCGATAGGGATGAGGAGCAGGACGAAGAGGAGGAGGAGGAGGAGGAGGAGGCGGAGGAGGAGGAGGAGGAGGAGGAGGAGGAGGGGGAGGAGGAGGAGGTAGACAGCTTTAACTAGGAGGGCGAAGAAGAGCACGGCGATGATGGCTACGATGGTCGCGTACCTCGAGAGGTGTTTCGGCGCTGATGATACGATGCTGCTGCTGATGATAATGATGATGATGATGCTGCTGCTGATGATGATGATGATGCTGATGATGATGATGCGGATGCTGATGCTGATGATGATGAGGATGATGCTGCTGATGATGATGACGAGCAGGGTTGGGAACATGCGGATGGGGCTGATGATAAGTCTTTCCGCTGCGCAGTTCTACCACGATGAAACGCAGTCGACCTGAGCACGGGGCCCATGCTGCCGTCGAGCACTACAGTACACTTGAACGCAAACCTCGAGAAACGGCTGTAGAGAGACAGCACGTTTCGGGCAGGCGAAAAGGGCAACAGGGTTCCTGCGTAAAACAGGCATCAAAGGATTTTGGTGACTCTGTTTGGGCGGCGGGCCTGTTTGCATGCCCCCCTGCTGCCGTCGAGCACGGCAGATCGGCTCATCTCCAAGGGGGAGCAGAGCCAAAACGAGCACAGACAGGCATACAGGCTCGGAGCAGTAGGACTGGCACAGCGCTTATACAGGCCAGTGCCGACACGACGAGGCAAGCGCCCCTGTGGAATGAGACTAGGAGGCCAATCTCGAGGTGACGGCACAGTCAAACAGGTGGGCCACACTGAGGGCATCCGCGTCAAGCCACACATCGCTCAGCTTAGGGTTCTTGCCAGCGCAGCGCAAATTTGTTGCAAGTAGGTCTTGGAACTACGCACATTGCGAGGATCATGAAGGGCACGTGTGACTCAGATACCCGACGTAGTTGCCAGTCGAGAAAGCTGTTCACCGAAGGCAACTGCACAGCACGCCGCCATCGGAAACGGGCAACCCTAAGCACTGATGGCCCTGTGCTTATAGCTTGTCCTGATTTCCTACAGCAGCTCGAACTATTATGAGACCGTGCCCCATGCGCCACGAGAGACTCTCAGGCAGTGCCTGCATTGCCAGTATTCCCCAGCGCACCGCCGCGAATGCACTGGCTTAAACATCGGGGCTCTACCTGATCCCGCGTCGCCTGCGACAAGTCGCAGGCAGGCCAAACCAGGAGCAGCCTGGCAGCAATCACACGCACATTTTCCTGGAGACGGCGATGGCCTTGGCCAGCCACTTCGCCTGCTCAGGGACCTGGCCTCTCGCTCAGGCACCCGGACTCTCATGTGCCAATGCCGCAGGCTTCACATACTGGTCTGGCAGATCGTCACCAGCCTTGCAAAGCTTCAGGTTGGGATCTCCAGACGCCTGCTCCTGAGTCATGTGGACAGGAGCTGCAGGAGGAGGAGGAGGAGGAGGAGGAGGAGGCGAAGGAGGAGGAGGGGGGACTAGACAGGCCCGAGAGAGTGGTTGGGGAGTGGGAGTGGGGAGGAGGAGGTGATTGGGGACGATTGGTGGGTGGGGGAGAGGCGGAGGTAGTGGTTGAGGCGCGGAAATCCCACAATAATCGTGCAGAATGCGCGCCAGGCTGCGCAAAGCGGGGAGCAGCTGGCGCTGGGGGTGGTGGTGCACTTGCACAGCAAGTGTGCGCGGACCCGTTTTCCACGACGCCGCGATGCATGAATTCTCGATTCGGCGGCGAGCGAGGGCGGAAGTGAGAAGCCCTCGCGCCCTCTCAGAAGTTTCTTCTGTCTTCGGGGAAGGCCTAGAAAAGTTCTCGGAAGGCCGGGGGACTTCGAGCCTGCTGAGAAGGCCTTCTCCTTCTCACTTCCCCCCAGGCTCGCCGCCGACTGATGTGTGTGCGTGGTCGGGTGCGACGCGCTGGAAAGGCCTTCTCAGCCGTCGCTCGTGCTTCTCTCCTCGGTCTATCACAGCTCGGCAGTGCGGGCTGCCGTGTGGAAGCCTCCTTCGGTACTCCGAATTTCATCATAAAGGGCTGGGGGTCACAAACCTCCCAGACAAGCCGTTTCAGACCCTCCCCAGACCAGCCACGAAAGGGCTGCTTTTTGCCCAGACCCACCAGAACCCTTCAAGACAGCTAAAATCAGACCCCCTCCCAAGCCAGACCACCCCCCTCTTACTGCGAAATCCCGAGTCGGTTTTTCCGCACTGCTAAAATCAACGTGCAATCAAGACCTCCAACGATCTGCTTTTTCGCGACGTGGGCCCCGGAGCGATCGACCCCATCCCACCGGGCCAGCCCTCTCGATGTTGTTGGCCCCAGGGCCCAAATCGAACCTCTGGACGCCCAAGCTGAGAAAGAACAGTCTGCCACGTTCTTTTCGCGACGCCAGATTTCCGGGACCATGGCCCACGACGAGGCTTCGTGTACACAGCGTCGGCGGCGGATCACGAGTCTCACCCCGAGGGCCGGTTCCTGTCGCATGTCTTTCTTCGAGTCGAGGGCGGCGGCTCGCGGCTAGCAAGAGTCGAGTCGCCAGCAAGAGACTCTTGCTGGCGAGCAGCCAATCGGCCGAACCCTGATCCAGCTATCATTCTTAGCCGCGGCCTACGAGTAGTTCAAACCTGCAGGGTCAGACAGATGTGTTCTTGTGCCTCACGTCCTCTGAGTCCATGGGTTGCTGTACCGAGTGTCCTCTGGGATCCTCGTGCCGTGCCACTCTTGGAAGAGTCCAGCGACCTCTCGAGTGTCCTGTGTCTTCTGTCGCGGCTGCATTCGCTTCCGTACCGTAACGTTCTGTCGAGGCATTCGGGAGGCTTCGAATACAGTCGGCATGAAGATGGCGCGTGCTGGATGCCGCTGTGGCTCAAGAGCTGCTCGGCTCAGGCCAGCGTGCGCCCACCCAGACCTGTCAGCTTTGTGGACACGCAGCGCGTTCAGACAGGAGCCGGAGGGGACGGAGGAGGAGGAGGAGGCAGGAAGAAAGTATACATATATATGTATACACATATAGTGGGTCGTCTCCAGTTTGAAATCGGTGGGCTGGCTGCTCGGTAGTCGTAGTAGTAATAGTAGTAGTAGTAGTAGTAGTAGTAGTAGTAGTAGTAGTAGTAGTAGTAGTAGTAGTAGTAGTAGTAGTAGTAGTAGTAGTAGTAGTAGTAGTAGTAGTAGTAGTAGTAGTAGTAGTAGTAGTAGTAGTAGTAGTAGTAGTAGTAGTAGTAGTAGTAGTAGTAGTATTAATAGTAGTAGTAGTAGTAGTAGTAGTAGTAGTAGTAGTAGTAGTAGTAGTAGTAGTAGTAGTAGTAGTAGTAGTAGTAGTAGTAGTAGTAGTAGTAGTAGTAGTAGTAGTAGTAGTAGTAGTAGTAGTAGTAGTA